CCCCCCACATATATATATACACACACACACACACGGAGAGAGAGAATCAAACAAGAACGATACATATTTAAAAAAACAAGAAAAGGGGCGAATCACATGTGATTTTACACTAACATCACATATAAAATCACATGTGATTTAGGCAACCTTGCCCGGCAACCTGAAGATGCAACCACAAGTGATCCAGACACTTTTTTTTACCATTAATGTAAAATTACATGTGATTTTATACGTGATTTGCCCCATTTTTTTAAATAGGTACCGTTCTCGTTTGATCTTGCCTCTCTCTCACTATATATTGTTATTATTATTATCATATACCTTTTTGTAAACAATTTTAAATATGCAGGAGGTGCATGTGGCTACGGCAACCTGTACAGCGACGGGTACGGCATAAACACGGCGGCATTAAGCACCAGCCTCTTCAACCATGGGCTGAGCTGCGGCGCTTGCTACCAATTGCGGTGTGTCGATGACCCAAAATGGTGTCTTCATGGCATCATTACCATCACTGCCACCAACTTCTGCCCCCCAAACTACGCACTGGCCAATGACAATGGTGGGTGGTGCAATCCCCCACTCCGCCACTTTGATCTCTCGGAGCCGGCATTCTTAAAAATTGCACAGTATCGTGCAGGGATCGTTCCAGTCGCCTATAGGAGGTACCAAAATAACCCAATTAATTAACAAACTTCATTTAATTCCTCTCAATCTTCTAATATTTGATACCGTAAATGTCAAGTTTTCTAAGTTATATTTAGAGTAAATTACGTTTTTCGTTCCCGTGGTTTGTTAAAATATACAGATTTCGTCCCTGTGATTTTGAAATTACGGTTTTGATCTCCATGATTTGTAATTCATTTCTATTTTCGTTTCTGATGTCAAAACACTACTTTTAAGTATGAAGGACTAAAATATAAATGGAATTGTAAGCTATAGGGACAAAAAAATAATAAAATGTTAAAATTATAAGGACAAAAAAAGGAAATAAATTATAAACGTAGGGATCAAAATTGTAATTTCAAAATCATAAGGATGAAAATAAAAACTTTCAACTAACTACAAGAACTAAAAACGTAATATGTGTGGGGGGTTTGGGTTCACGTGAGACAAGGTTGTTTTCGTGAGATACGTGAAACAACATTTTTACACTTAAAACATCACAACAAAATGTTGTAAAGGTAATAAAAGTCGAGCTTTCACAGCAAAAACATTGTGAATGTTACCTACACAGTGTTTTGCTATGAAATTTCAAGTATAAAAATGTTGTCTCATGTAGGGGTGTAAACGATACGAGACAACTCGCGAGCTACTCGAGATCGACTCGGTCAAAGCTAGGTCAACACTCGACTCGAATAGCCTCGACTCGAACTCGAGCTCGACTCGACATATTAACGAGTCGAGTCAAGCTACCCAATACTCGACTCGAAAAACTCGTGAGATACTCGATTATTTTATATATAATTAGTTTTAAAGTATATAATCAGGTTTTATGATAAAATATGTAAAATATAAATAATATAAATGCCTTATATTTTTAGATATTTAAACAATTAAAAAAAGACAAAGAAAAACTATAAAAAAGTTAGTGAAGTTGTCCCACATTGGAAGATAGATGGTAAAGGAAGAAAGAAAATATGTTATAAAAAGAGAGGAAGATGAATGCAATTTTCTAACTTTGTCTTTTTGATGATKAAGTTTGAAGTTGATCTCTTTAYTTTTATAAAAACTAAGAGAACACTTTTAAGTTTTAAAATTTATAAGAGAAAGACCCTAAGTTTTATAAATTTCAATGAGTGAGTTTGGTTCGAGCTTGATTCGAGTTCGAGTTCGAGCTTGATTCGAGTTGTAGTTCGAGCTTGATTCGAGCTTAGTTCGAGCTCGAGTTCGAGTTCGAGCTTGAGAAATAGTTATCGAGTTCGAGTCGAGCTCTGATTTTTACTACTCGTGAGTTTTCGAGTCGAGTTCGAGCTTGGAAATTCGGTTTCGAGTTCGAGTCGAGTATAGTGATACTCGAGCTCGACTCGAATCATTTACACCCCTAGTCTCATGTGTCTCAAAAAAAGAGTTTTGTCTCACATGATCTCATATATATATATATATATATATATATATATATATCAAAAAATCTTGAATATACGGTATACATGAAGGGTTATTATTTGTATGTACATGTATATACCATACACATGAAGGGTTATTAAGGTGTTGCTTAATTTTTCATTTTTCAAAAGGTTTTTCTTTGAACTTGACTCTTTAATAGTAGCTTTATCCTTACATTTATTTTGAGACATAATTTATATATATTTTTATTTCAGGGTACCATGTTTAAAGAAAGGAGGAATGAGGTTCACCATTAACGGTCACTCTTACTTCAACTTGGTTTTGATAACTAATGTCGGAGGTGCAGGGGACGTCCATAGGGTCTCGATCAAAGGGTCAAAAACGGGGTGGCAAACATTGACGAGAAATTGGGGTCAAAATTGGCAAAGCAACTCTTATCTCAATGGTCAAAGCCTCTCTTTTAGGATAACAGCCAGTGATGGAAGAACTGTCACCAGCTATAACGTGGCACCTGCTGGTTGGCAGTTTGGACAGACATTTCAAGGTGGTCAGTTTGATGATTTATAAATAAACATTCGACCAAAACCCCATTAAAATTTAAATAAAAGGGGAATTCATGTTTGATTTTATATTATACTACGAACAATGTTGGAATACTCAAAAGAAATCTTGTATGAAATAATATTTGTTGCTAAATATGTGCCATTAAGTGCTGAAGAGTTGTCGGAGAATAATGTTGTATTTAAGTCTGATATAGTTCAAACATCTTGAAAACATGGACTTGATTGGGACGATCGGACCTAAAATGGTTACTTTTCGATGTTGGGACTAAAAACCACTCGCGGTGAATATGCATCTATACTTAAATCTTACAGAGGAGACTGAACTTTTGTGGTTAAACAAGACTAAAGGATCATTTACTAAACGCTTACCAGTAATTGTTGATTTGTAAGAGTCATCAATTTTGTTGGGTGACATTCTGGGCCATCATAATAAATTGTTGGTAAGTGTCTTTACCCGGTAAGCATTAACCGGTAAGTGTTTTTTTTCCTCACCAGATAAGATTATTGGTTCTCGCCATACTCACTCTATAATGTAAGTGACCCTAGTAGGCATTTATACCCGGTAAGCTTTTGGTAAACTAGCTGATAAGTTAGTTGTTGTTAGTAATAAACTAGTTGATAGCTGAAAAAGTAACGTTAACAAATAAGTTAGAGATCATTTACCAAACGTTTATCTGGATAAGCGTTTACTAAGTCGACATTACCTTATCGAATGAGTATGGCAAGGACTAAGAATCTTACACGGTACGAGTAAGGCATGGACCGAGAGTCTTACCCGGTAAGTAAGATTGACGACTCTTACCACGGTTAGTGCTTACCAAGTAAATTGTCAAATAGGATACTGTTTTTATTGACTAAAATCTTACCCGGTAGGTAAATGATGATGTTAAATTTCACCAAGAACCGCTTACTGGATAAGTGTTTAGTAAACGACACCTTAGCTATTTAACGGTTAAACTAGCCATGTTAGTAAAATCCACAACTTTATATATCAACCATACCACAAGTTCGACAAAATATTTTGTATTTTCTTCAAAATTCGAAACATTCCTAATCAAATTAGAAAAAAGAAACATCCAAAACGATAAACCCATGACCCGATCAGCCCAACTTGGGCCGACCCGACCCGGTACCCACATTACATAGTTTACTAACATAACCACACTCAATAGTTTAGCAGAGAATACTTGAGTCTCAATACAATTTTCCCTTTCTCCACCCCCAGCTTACCACCAGTAACCACCCAGTGCCCCGGTGGATCCGCTGGCCCCTTACTCATCTCCGCCATATCGACAAATTTCGCCAACCTATTATTTCCGCTCGAACCCGAGCTCGAATCACCGGGACCCACTGTTCGTTTTGACTTATCAGGAGTGTGGTCCCACAAAGATCTTCGTACGGTGCAACCGGGCAGCCGTGAATATAGAAGCTTCATGTACAGAACGTTTCTGGACCCAAAATCCCAGACGCCGAGCTGGGCCCCGGTGATGATATGCACGCCGGCTGAGTCACCGATGAAGGCTTCGGGGCTTTCGATGGGTGCGGTGCTGACGTGCGAGAAGTTCTTCCATTTCACTGGCTCGAACCATCGGCTGTCTTGCTCCTCGGGTCCTAGCCACTTAGGTGCACCAATGGCTACATGTGTGTCCCAATATGGTCGGAGGATCTTTGGGAGGCATTGCAAGTGTTGAATATGAATGCTTAACCGGTTTTGCTTCAAACCTTCTAAGCATAATCGTATTCCAGTCACGGGCTTCCGCCCCACCGATATCTACGTATAAATACACAAGTAAAAGAATATATGATCATGAACATATATAGGAACACACCAAAAGGGTTCAATGGTACCAGGGTTACGGGTAGATCCCAACCTCCTTAAAGGTCGAGGATTGAAGCCTCACTAAGAAGAGAAGTGTGTGCGACTACTTTTCGTATGTAAACATATACTTCAATTTATATATATATATGTGTGTGTGTGTGTGTGTGTGTGTATGCACACTAAAATATGAAATGAAACACACATACCTGATCTTGAGAAACATAAAGCCTTTGACCCATCATGCTGAATTGTAAAGATGGACAAACAGGTTCCTTTCTTTGATGGCCTGGAAGCCGATCCTGTAACGGTGCCCATACTCGTGACACCTGGAACTCGAGAAAGTATCTCAGCTCTTCAATCTGAGGCTTGTCTGTGCATTAAAAAAGCATGCAAAATAAGTTAGAAAAAGACCGTATCAGCAACCAATTCTTTTGAGTCAAGTTTCTAAGCCTATACTCGGCAAACTAGCTGATAAGCTACTTGTTAGCTGAAAAGCCAGTTGTTAGCTGAAAAGTTAGTTGTTGGCAAATAAACTACCCTGACAAACTAATCACGTTTGGTAAAACTAGCAGAAAAGCTAAATGAGAATGTAAAGTGACCTAAAAGAACAATGTTGAAAAACTATTGGAAAAACAAGAAGGAGAATAATTGGAAAAAAGTGGAAAAAGAACCCCTGAAACTTATTAAAACGCTACTTGAAGTAGCTTATAAGCTAGTTTATGGCTAACAAAGCAAGGATTTTTCAATAAGCACAAAGCATAAACTAGCTTACGGTTGCCATGGCCCAAGTGTAGTGGCGGATTCGGAAAGTGAGGTGATTGGGAGCACATCTAGGGTATCAAGAAAAAATCCAAGTCGAATAGCTCATTCGAACCGAATAAGGTTTGGGTAAAACGGTTTTGGATTATTCAGTTTTCAAGTTATTCAAAAACCCTTAGTAAGACACCATTGACGGCAGCAAAAAGCACATAACCTTACAAAAATAACAAGCATTCCAAATGAAGCGTCAGTCTTTAATTATCGAAACCATCCAAAAAACACTAGAATTGTTGAGAATTACAACACCAAAAGCATTAAGTGGGTCGCCAGAAGAATGAGTGAATCGCTGAAAGTAAGTTGGGGGCAACGGAAAAATGTTGGAATAAATACGAGAATTAGGGTTTTTTTTTAAATCAAACTTTTTTGACATTTGGTTGGGGGCATGTGCCTCCTACGCCGATAACCTGCATCCACCCATGCCTAACTGTAAAGTAACTTTTCCACAAGGGGCTCTTAAGCGATGACAAGATCGACACTTGGTCTAAAAGCCGCTTGTGTAACATATGTTCTACATTTTCATCCATTCACAATCACTTGAATTGCAACATCGTATAGCAATTGCCAAAAAGAGGCAAAAGCGTTTGAATGATATTATCTTTCTTTAATATCTTGGGATTAATAAAAACCCTTTTCAGATTCAACGAACATGATATTGAATGAAAGATAAGACGTCTTACATTCAAGATAGAGAGCTATAGCACGACTCAAATGCTCCTTTCCAGCTACTCCTTCGAGAAGAGAAGTAATGGGAACGAATTGCATGCCAATGACATCCGGGGAGTATTTCACAGTTTTCTCCCATCGAGTATGGCTTTGCTCCAGATCATCTCCTCCTCTTCTTCGGAAAATAACTGTTACATCCTGCATAACCGAAGAAATCAAATATTTAATCTAATATTACTCCAAAATCTGTATTTGTAAAACATCCAACCAAATGACTTAATACAAGAAACTCATCCCCCCCAGGGGGTCCTAATTCTTTGGAATAGCTTAACTGGTAAGGCCTTGAGTTTGTTCTCCAACGTCACCAATTTGAGTTCCCTCATTGATACTCGAAGTTTGTTCGACTGTTAACTTTAGGGCCCCATGGGATTAAGGTGTGTATAAGCTGGCCCAGGCGCTCAATAATCACCAAGATTCAGGGTTTTTCAAAGAACCATGAAGTGATTTTCGCAAAGGGTGGAAGATCAACAAGGTCAACCTATCAGGACGGTTTGTGAAACCTTGTCCATTCAACATCCAGAAACTTGCTTTTCATTCTTAGTTCATTTCAATAGGCGTCCTCTTTTTAAAAAAGATGCTCTTAATTGGTACTTAACATTTTACACCCTAAAAAAGTGAGATTCATCCTATCTTTTATCATTCCCTTTGATTAAAGAAAAGTCAATAATTGACTTTTGACCATCAAGCAAATTTACTTTTTTTAATTTCAGAAACTAAAACAAATTTGTCGTGATTGTAGATAAGAAACTATCATCGCATTAAGCAATAACAATGCATCTTTCCAGAGAAATCATTCATTATGATTTTATACATCCTACAAATATTGGCTTTGTTATATAACATGTGGGAAAGAAATGATACAATGAAAGGCATACAGTCTTACATACTTCCTTTGCATTTGTACTGAGCGATGGTGCACTTGTGGGTTGAGGATATATGCCTTGGCTACTGAACAACGACGGATCACCACCCTGAAAAAACAAGAAACATGACCAATGGAGGAAGTGTAAGAAGGGTAGTGAAAACTACAAACCGTAAAAAGAATCACACAAAGTGATGACTTCAAGAAAATAAAAGTGCTAGAAGAACAAAATAAGCATGAAACAAAGGAACGATCTTGGTGCATCTTAGTGTCCGGGCCAGCTTGTGGCACCTCGACTAATCCCATGGGGCCCTGAAGATAATAACCAGGAAAATCTCCAGTGGACCTGAGGAGACTCGAACTAGCAAGTAGCAACCTATGTAGGAGACAAAGGCCTAGCCTTTATTTGTTGGTTGAGTTGGCCCTCAAGGTTATAAATTATTTCTTAGTAATTTGAAACGTGACTATTTAGTAGCTTGTGCTTGAGCATGAATGAATAAATAAGAAAGATAATAGAAAAACTAGCCTTTTCCTTGTATCTCAAAAGACCCGAATCGGTAAGGTTTTCAGTGTTGGAGAACCTCTGGTTTCCTATATCCTGAACGTAGTTTTTTATCTCGACTGTTGACAACGGTGACGATAGGTGTTGTTTGACATATATGACATCTTTCCCACCAATCGTAACTGATGTGATAACGTGTGTGCCAAAATTCTCGATAAAACTGTCACAAAAAATGATAAAACAAAAAGCAATTTGTGGTAATGTTAGGTCAAAGAAATTCAAATAAAATTCTTTTACATAATACAATAAGATGGATACCTTGCTAAGGCTGGTGGGTCCCATGATGTGGGGACCGCTCGTTTAACGCTTTCTTGCAACACTAGAGAGGACTTTGTGAGCTCAAACTTAGAAAGTGGAATGAAATAACCATCCATACACAGGGTCTTGGTGGCTGCAGCATCGATATGTTTTGAACCCGTAAGGCTAAATGCAGCATTAAAGCTACCAAGAGGAACGTTGCCTGATAGGTTAGCTCTCTTGTTAAAATATTCGACCATCTGCAATCATAAAGTTCATTAAAAAAATTATACAAAAAGGGGTACGCCTTTAAGGAAAAAACCCAAACTAAACCAAATGAACCCAGTAAATCCCACATAGAGTAGTGTCTCGGAAATATAAGATGTATGCAGACATTTCCTCTTTTGATTCCGACATTCCGTGAACGCCTCCAACTAAGGCAAAGACTTTGAGCAATTAGTAGTAAATATGTCATTTGGAAATCGAAATTGTATCGTATGTAATGCATATCCCACCATCCCCTACCTACAGTCCAATACTCCCTCCATCCCAAAATAAGTTTCCACATTTATATTTACGTTTGTCCCAACACTTTCAAAAATAGATAACTAAATTTCCATGTCTGCCCTTAAATGCACAAATATCTAAGAGTTGATAAGATAGATTAATTTATTTGGGTTAAGTCGTCCTTTGGTTAACTAAGTGTAATAATTATGTATGTCTAAAACTGTGTGCCATTTATATTGTGGACACTTATTTTGGGACGGAGGGAGTAATATAACTACAATTACAAGAAGAAACTCTAGGACTAATGTACATCAAACAGGGTCGCACACAGAGAAATGATACTATACATTTAACCTATTTCCCTTTTACTCGGCCCTGTTACATTGTTTGTTTGCTTGTTTGAACACATACTCACCTATAATCTTACTCTCCAGATTTGTCAATTTGTTTCGCAAGCCGGGGGTGTTCACAGAAACAACCCTCTCTACCACTTGGGGTAGAGCCGCAGAGGTAAAGTCTGCATACATGTTACCCTCCACAGACCTTACCTCTTCATGAAATCTGCCATGTCTGTTTAGTTTGGTTTGGTTTGGTTTAGTTTGGTTTGGTTTGGTTTGGTTTGGTTTGGTTTGGTTTGGTTTGGTTTTAACAGAACCACATTGATGTTTACTAAAAAATACCACAAAATAGGAATTTAAAAACACCATGTTTGAATACCAAAAGTTCAAACGGTCCCTGATTTCAGGGCTGAGGGAAAATCATTAGTTTTCGAGCTTGGCTATACCTAATAATCTTCCAACTTTACCAAAAGATCAACAATTGAGTACGCATTTAACAATGTAAGCAGACCACGCTTCTAAAACGATACCAAACCAAACTGACCCAGTATGGCCCACTCAAAAGTGGGGTCATCTCGTGGAAGGGATGTACACAGACCTGACCTCTACTCTACTCCAAAGATTAGAGCAATTGTTTCCATGAACACCCATCTGACCATATAAATATTTTATAATATGCAAAAACGAAAAGAAAAACCAAAAGTCAATATGGATTAATAATATACCTCATGATAATTGCAAACCCCAGAACTATTACGGTTAACTGGATCTTGATTGTTCTCTATATCCCTTGACACATTCGGCACGACCAAGTTATCATACAACCAAAGATCCCTTTTGTGTTCTTCATCAATCTCCACAACTTTAGACCCTGCCACTCCCTTACAATATAGCAATCTCGTGTCGAAATTTACATCAAAACCCTTACCCAATGCCTGTACTGAATTCTTAGCAGTATGAAAAGCTGCTGCATTTTCCTCCATCTCATCAAATTTAGACAACCCAATCTAATTTTCAAACAGAAACATCCAATTTTTCACAAACTTGTTGATTCCATTCAACAACAAATATGTGATTCTAAACCCAACCTCAGAAAATCAGATGATTAGGGTAAATCCAAAAACCTTTTTGAATTAGGGCAGATTGAACAGATTTCAACAGCAAAATGGGGAAGAAAGTCTGATCTAAACAACAAACAATACCCTAAATAAACTAATAACAACACCTTTTTTCCTCCAAATAGCGTTCTTGCACCAAATCTATGGCTAAAATGTAATTAAACCCATGAAGAAAAATCCGATATAGAGGAAACTCGAAACCCAATAATCGATTAGGGTTGTTGAACAAGAAGACGATGCTAAAATCATACAAAACACCAACAAAAATTGAAGCTGTAATAGTGAAAAGGAGAATCGAGATTTACCAAACCATGAATCAAACTTTGAAGTATCGAAACTCAATCAATGAAGTGGTCTCGGTTTCATCAACAGAAGTGCATCATACCCATATATCTAAATCTGATGAGGGAAAAGAAATATCTAACCGACTTCTGTTTGATTGAATTCGTAATTTTTGCCGTATATCCAAAGTTGAACTCAAAGATTTCTTTGGTATGTTATGTATTTTCCCTCAATTTGCCAACTATTTTGGGTACACCAGTTTTCAACAGTATTGAGTCCAAAACACGGCCTTTGACTCTTCAGGATTCTTTTTATTTGAATTTATTTTTGAACGTCACCACTTTGGACTTGGATATATAAATATATGAATTATGGGATCCGGCTAAAAATCGTGTGAAAATGAAAGTTATGGTGATAAGTGTAAGAAAATATCTGAACATTTGATCAATGTTAATCTTATATCCATCCATGAATTAGGGTTTAGAAGGAAATTAATCTGGTATACCTCATTAGTATAGACATTCAATTAACGATTAACTCAAGAGTGACGATCTCTTCTTATGTTTCTCATCATAACTTTATTTCTCACTGGAACCTAACCCTAATGAGGTGCATCGAGATGCACCGGATCAATTCCCTTCTAAAGCACAATTTATGGTGTCGGTATGAGATTAAAAGTGATTAAGGGTTCAGATCTCTTCTTATGTTTCTCACCAAAACTTACTTTCTCACAAGATCCTTCGCTTCTCATATATATATACATATATATATACACACACACACATATATACATTCATGTGTGTAGATGAATAATCGTGTGAGAATAGAAACTAAGATGAGAAGTGTAAGAAAGAATTTTGACCCTTGATCGCTTTAAAACCAACCCAAGGATTTGATGTGGTGTTTCTCATTAATATTGATCTAGTGGAACTTTTCAATTAAGGGGGTGTTTGGAATTGCTTATAAAAACAACATATTGACTTATTCCGGTGTGACATCAGTAATAAGCACTTTTGAGTGTTTGGATAAACAACTTATACCGGTGTCAAACAGGTAATATGAAGTTTTTAAAAAAGTTAAACTCTTCTGACTTATAATAAGTTGATAAATGTTTTTATAGAAAAACATAAGTTGTTTCAAATAAACAATCTCAAACACCCCCTAAGATTTATCTAAGGGTGGAGATCTCATCTTCCCCTTCTCTCCGTAACTTTTATTTTCACCAGAATCCAACTCTCCACACACACACACACATATATATATATATATATATATAGTTAAAGGTTAAAAATAGAACGGTTTACGAGAATACCCGAAACAAATAACCATCATGTGTGATATTATATGGTGACAAAATAGTGAATCTGCAACTCAATTATCCATCAAACATGTTTATCAAATATGATAATTGCTTGTTATGAAAATGCCAATTATATCATATCTCACTTCATATTCCTTCTCTTTAAATCTCTAAAATCAAACCCTTTAATATCCACAATAAAATTATATGAATCGATAAATTCGAATTACAATATTGTTATCAAATGATTTGTTAATAAAATATGCCAGGTATAATTACAAGTGGGTATGTGTTTTTAGTACTTCGGTTTTTTGAGTGTTGTCTTTTTTATTTTCAATCATATAATATTAGAATTCGTTCATATTCCAAAAAATCATAAATCAAAACCTTAAAACATTTAATTTTTTAATGATCAAATTCATCTCCTCAAAAATAAAAATAAAGTAAAAGTGATTTTATTTCGGTTCCTCAAAATAAATTTTATGAATAAAATTAATTTTTCAAAATGAAAAGTTTCATAAGAAAATAATATTTTTTTATTAACCTGGATATCCAACCCGCTATACGAGCCGACAAATCTAAGGACTACCACCTGTTTTGCAGATAGCCCGGAGTCACCGCTAGAGGTGTTCAAAAACCCGACCAACATGATGAACCCAACGCGAAATAACTCAACCCGAAACAACTCGATGTCTAATCGAGTTGTAAAATTTTCAACCCGTACGTACTGGGTTGATATTATTTGAACTCAATCCAACCCGATGAACCCGATATTATTTTATTTTTTGGATTTAATATGATTGTTAAAAAAATTCTATTAATATATACATTAGATAATAACACTATTACATACACTTTCATATACACATTTTTCCAATCTATTCACATCTCTATATAACTCATTCGTATATATGTTTAGTAATTTTAAACATATATACGTAAATTGGGAAAATTAACTGAATGTGATATACGTAAAAAGTATGGATAATTTGTATCAAATGGTTGATGATGAAAAATAAATTATGAGAAGAAAAATAACATATTCAATGTTAGAAGAATATTTTAATGTACCAAAGTATCAATCCGACCAACTCGTACGGTTTAGGTTGGGTTGCACTTTCGTTTGGGTTGGGTTGGTTAAGATTTTTCAAATCGCAAGCATTGGGTTGGGTTGATCAAATGTCTTCAACCCGATCAATCCAACCCATGAACACCCCTAGTCACCGCATTTGAACTTCCGTGGCCACAAGAGGATTTTTATTCCTTCTTGGATTTGAACATGAAACCTCCAAGTACTTTTAACTTTTAAAGCCAAGCTTAAACCAATCAAGTACCATCCTTGTGGTTGAAAAATAATAATATATTTTTTAACAAACCAATTAAACAAGAGATGAGACGGTGTTTCAAAAGACAAAGACCAAGTAAAAGTGACATGTTAACTGTTCTATTCATTTCTGCTTTAAATTTATATAAAAAGTAGGTACAATCAAAATATCTCAAAGACATCAATTAATGTTTGAAAAGGACATCATGGGCATTTGGCCAACACTACATTTTATTTTATATGCCCAAACTTATTTGTCCACATTCAAACACCCAAAAAGTCACATAGTTTCATGATTACTGCATTGTTAGTTCAACTGACTATAAAACTTGGATCTCAGAGGATCTTTCTTATACATTATCAGTTCGAGTCCTACAAAGCCATTGGAGATTTTCTAGGCTGTTCAACTCCTGCAAGGCCACTCAAGATGCCCGCAAGCTGGTCCGAACACTCATGATTAACAAAAAGAAAATGACAATGATAACACAAAATTTCTCCGCCTATTCTTTCTAAATCAAAATACACAAAATTTTATACAACTTGTGTTGTATACACGTCTATTTATATCAAAATCAGTTCAAATCATACATTAAAAATATAAAAAGTAAGTCATGATGTTGATATATGTAAGGAGAAAATTAGTAGGTAAAAGTCAGATAAACCCTCTGATGGCCGTGGAGAGCAAACCCAACGTCTTACCGGTTGATCAACGATGTGCAATTAAAGTAGTACATTTCAAGATCATAAAATACGAAATTCACGTTAAGAGTAATGCTATATCATCTTAGTCATCCAAGTTACAGTCGACACTCGACAGAATCACATGGTATTTAGATTTCTTGACGAATCATAGTAATCAAAAGAAGAACTTTGTTGTTAACATTAAGTCCTATATCATAAGTTATACTCCTTTCCTCCATCGAAAGCGATGATGCAATATTAACTTGTACCTTATGCAACAAAAGTTGTAAATTACCCGAGAAAAGGGCCTAGGCTTTTCGAATAGCTGAACTAGAGCAGCATTCATATTAACACGAACGAAAAATCTAGGGTTTTATGAGCCTCATTTACAACCAATGTCGACTAAAGACACTTCCATTGTATCTATTTCCCTAACATGATTTTTTTTCATCTATTCAACGCTTTTTGCATCAAGATTCACAATTTGGTTTTCAAGTTCTCGTCTTTTTAGATATTAAAACCGCCCAAAAGATCTTACCCGCGATTCACTGTGAGTTCTTGGTCTTTTTGGCAGCAAAAATCTGGCGAAGAAAAGAAAACTTGCGTCTGGAGCGTGCAGAGAGCTCGTTCATCGTGCCATTACTGGCTGCAGCTGCATCCTCGGCGGCATCGCGTTCTTCCGGCGATGGGTCGGGTGGCGGCGGAAGGGTGAAGAGGAAGGTGTTGAGCATCCGTATGATTTGATCAAAACTTGGTCGCATATTGGGATCCTCAACCCAACATGATTGGATGATGAACGCGAGTTCAGGTGAGATTTCTTCTGAAAGATTTGGCCTTTCTTGCTGTTTCAAGTGAGCAAAGAGGGTTAGAAATGGAGGTTTTCGGGTATCAGTTTTTGAGCAAGAGTTACAACATAATAATGTATTGTATATCATACCGAAGCATATGAACGAACGACACTAGATTTAAACACAAATACATTTCTACTCAAAATAATAATCGGAAAAACCTTTTGTCCAAGCCGAGGGTTTCACAAAAACGGTCACTCTGCCCCTTGGGTTTTTTGTTTCGGAGGGTTATTTAGCTAAATGACCTCTTGACAAGTTCTTTCTATATCAATGACATTCTGAAAGGTTTCTAGGCATGAAAGTAGCATTCTTCTGTTAAGCAGTGACATTCACAAACCTGTACTAAAGTCATGGATTTTAATTAAAAAACTGACAGAAGGTCATTTAACCAAAGGACCCCTTTGGAAAGAATTAAGGTTTGCATACATCCTACCCCCAGACCCTACTATTTCTGAGTGGGATATATTGCGCATATCTGATAAACAATTCCGCGTTGGAATGTGTTTCGATCAATTTTGAAACAAATATTTGTCAAATTGGTTATCGTCAATCCGTCATTGTTGGTTTTCAATTTGGTGAATTGATGTATGGATGATGTTTTTTTGCTAATCTGCCCTTTTTATGTTATGGCATGTGGAAAACGATAGGAATAGGGACGAAGGAGGTGTTATTATAAACATGGTAAATAGATAGGTTAGATCGGATTGTTAAAAAATCAAAACAGGTAACGGGTTAAACGAACACATTTAGAATTAGTCAAATCAAACAGGTTGGTTTGATTTGTCGGACTCGGACCCAAACTCTCATTTTTATGTTTCCTTCAGCCTACATTCTCTCTCCCTATATATATAGAGAAAGAGACTTGGAATCATGTGAGATTAGTATGTTTTCGTGAGACCTATGAGACCACAAAAAACACCGAACCTTCAGAGCAAAAACACGGTAAAGGTTTACCTCCTGGTTTCCTTCCTTTTTCCCTTCCTTTCCTTCATAAAAGGAGACTCGAGAACACAATGCTAGGTAGTTGGGCCAAGCGTGCCAGTGCGCACCCCTAGGTTGACCGAACCTCATGTGATTTTAGTCTAAAATCGCATGTGATCTAGACGTCTTCGTGTTCTCTTATTTTGACTTTGTTCTTGTTTGAACCTCCCTCTCCATATATACATACACACTTATTAGGTTGGGTTCCGGTGAGAAGGAGGGTTAAGGTGAGAAGCGTAAGAAAAGATCTCCACTCTTAGATGCACATTAGGATGAAATGCATCGAGATGAGGCACCGGATCAATCCCCATGAAATATGTGGAATTTTTCTATGAAAAGGTATTAAAAAAACAACAGGCTATAGAAAAGTGGGCTAATCCAACCAATCTATCAAATGGGATGCATGGGTGGGTTTGAGATTAAAGGTGATCAAGGGTCCAAATCCCTTCTTACACTTCTCACCTTAACTCTTCTTCTCACCTTAACTCTTCTTCTCACACAATCCTTCGCCCACACATATATAGACACAAGTTGAATATATACATTGTTGCGCTGAGGGGTAGCTTAACCGATAAGACATACCACTGGAAGGGTTGTGTGGCATTTAACTTCAGGGCCCTATGGGATTAGTCGAGATGTGTGTAAACTAGCCTGGACACCCAGGGTTACCAATATATACATTGTTCTTGTAGATAAGGACCAATGCACCCTTCCTCCATAAGTATCCTCTTTTTCTTAAAGACGACAAGATAATCTACCTAATCCTTGCTACGGTACCACCCAAGACCCGCAAATTGTTTGAAAGAGTCCTAAGTCATCAAGAACTTACATTAAAGTTGAAAGATAAAATCTCTACAACATTGGCAAAATGTACTATAACTTAAAGGGCAAAATCTTATGCAAGCTACAGACATGTACACAAATGAACATATGTTCATCTCTAAGAAGATTAGGGTGGCAATGGTGGAGAAGATGATAAAATGATAAACATCGCTTGATATGGTATGGTCATCTCTAAATGGACTTTCAGTTACCCCCTCCGTCCCAAAATAAATGTCTACTTTCAGAAGTAAGAGAGTGTTTGGTTCACATAATGGTGAATTTGGTGGAATGGGAATCCATTAACGGGACTTGATTTTGAAGGAATTGGAATGAAACTTGACCAACACGTTTGGTTGGTACTTGGTTGAAATTGGAATCGAATTTCACAAAAGAAATGGAATTTGCATGTGGTTTGGTGGGTGCGTGGCGGCTATGACGGCAAACAGCAATGATGTGGCGGTGACGATGAGGTGGGGTGGGTGGGTGTAGTTACAGTAACAACTTAATGGTGGTCCAGGAAGTGAAGATTGGTTGAGGGTGCGATGGGCGATAGGGGTGGTGGTGGTGGGAGGATGGTGGGAGCATGGTGGAATAATAATATTAATTGGCGATGGTGGTGGTGGCAACGACGTGGTGGTGGTGGTGGTGGTGGAGATATTGGCGCATGCTAGGGGTGGTGGTGTTGGTTAGGGGCCGTTTACCAAACACTTACCCGGTAAGCACTTATTGGTAAAATTTAATATTATTATTTACTTACCAGGTAAGATTTTAGTCAACAAAAACGGCTTTCTATGCAACAATTTACCCAATAAGAGCTGACCGTGGTAAGGGTCATTGCCCTCATTTACCGGGTAAGACTCTCAGTCCTTGCCTCGTTCTTACCGGGTAAGATTTTTGGTTCTTACCATATTCATCCGGTAAGGTGATATAACTTGGTAAGTACTTACTCAACTAAGCATTTGATAAACGGTCCCTTAACTTGGATGCAAAATTACTTGTCTTTTTAAAACCAAAGTATAACATATGCAATGAAATATTAACTCAAATCATTCACTTATGTTAAGGAATGATCAAATCCCTCAACAGTAGAATTCAGCAGAATCCAATCAATTCAATCCACAAACCAAACATCATCAAGAAAATCCACAAACCAAACATCATCAAGAAATTTGTCATTTCACTGTCCCTTAAGTGAATCAAATGGCCCTTAAGTGATAGCTTTCCACTTCCATCGTTAATTATGAGATGGAGAAACCAATCACTCTCCCTATTATTAAAGGGTAAAACTGTGATAATTACATATTTCTAAAATTGTATTTCTTTTTCATCGTAGACATTTATTTTGGGACAGATAAGTGTTTTGATTATAATGGGAACTTGTACCAAAAGGAATTCATTAGGATAAGTAGAAGTCCCCACACACCTTTCACAAGTTGGGGGTCTTCACAGAGACAACCGCTCTACTCTTTGAGGTAGAGGCCAGATCTGCATACATCTTATACAGACCTCATTTGGTTTGCTTTTGTTCAAGTAGAAGTCCTCGAAGATTGACAACGTGAAGTAGCAAAAATTGACATGAACAAATTGAATATACCAAAAAAATGGCATGAACAAGTTGTAATTATCTAAACCAACAAGAGATCAAAAAAGATATAACTTTTCCCATGCTCACACAGAAAGAAACAAAAGATAGAAAAGCAGATAAAAGACGTTAGATAGAAGAAAGATGAATGTGGCACCTTAAAAGCAGCAGCATAAGCAGCCTGCAAATTCGACATGCCTTCAAATGGCATTCGGTTTGTCACCAACTCCCAGAGCACAATACCAAAGCTGTAAACGTCGACCTTGTTATTGTAATGCTTCTTCTCGCCTTGACGCAAGGTCACAGTGCTATACAACTGCAAATTTTACAATTTAAATTTATTCAGGTGGGGAGCCAAAAGCTAATTCCGAATGGATATATTGGGTCGTTTGGTTTGGATAAATTGCATGAAAATGCAACGTACTTTGATCAGATTCCTATTTTGTGTATTGTACTTTAAAAACCTTCATTTTGGTACCAAAGATGTGACATCACAAACATTAAGGTACCTAGTTTACACTAGAGATGCACAAAAAGACCAAAGCCCGAAGCCCAGCCCAGGCGTGCCTGATCCCGACCAGAAAACGCCCCGGCATAGTGAACCCAATCCCCGGTCCAGGCCTCCAATTAGGCCAAAATTTGGGGGCAGGCCCGGGCATAGGCTTCACCTGAAAAAGCCCGACCTAAAAAAGCCTGAAAAAACCAGTTAAACCCGAAAAAGCCCAAAAGAATCTGGCTTGAAAAAAGGGCCTTTTTTTGCTCACCAAAAACGGGCTTCGAAGGCTCGGGCACAGTCCTGAAAAAGCCCAGGCCTCTAGTTTACACCTATTAATGCAGGAAAATGCAACGCACTTTGATCCGGTTCCTATTTTATGTAATGTACTTTCAAAGCCTTTTCATTTATGGTACCTCAGTTGTGGCATCTTAAACATTAATGTACCTAGTTTACATCTAGAATGCAGGAAAATGCAATACTTTGGTTTGATTCCTGTATTATGTATTATGTAACGTATGTTGGTCTAAATGTTTGAGATATCACAGATGAGGTACCAAATGAAGGTTTTGAAAGTATATCACATAAAATACGAAATAGACCAAAGTAAATTGTTTTTCATGCAATTTATCCAATATTTTTTATCCATCTCAAAATATTTGACCTATGAAAAGCGTCCAATTAATTCAAACTGAATCAACAACCATATACCTCAGGTGCCATCCAACGGTAAGTTCCAGTCTCTGCCGTCATCATTTCAGTAACCGTTTCTTCCCTTGCAAGACCGAAATCTGCAAGCTTTACAGACTTCTGATTCGCAGTAAGCAGTAAGTTGTCTGCATCAAGGATTCAAACATTTTCTTAGTATCAAAGTGAAAAAAATGCAAAAATGGCAACAAAATATGACCATCAATCATTCACTCTTCATAGATGAATATAATCTTTAATCGTTCAATCTTCATAGATGAATATAATCTTTAGTCGTTCAATCATCATAGATGAATGTAGTCATTCAATCTTCATAGATAAATATGATCATTAATCATTCAATCGTCATAGATGAATATAATTATTCAATCTTCATAGATGAAGATGATCATTATTCATTCAATCATCCTATATGAATATAATCATTCAATCTCGAATCTTCATATATGAATATAATCATTCAATCTCGAATCTTCATAGATGAATATGATCATTAATCATCCGATATTCATACATGAATATGAATAAAGATTTGAAAATAAGAAGCATCAGAAATGGAATCAGAAAATAATCACCAGGCTTTAAATCTCTGTGTATAATCCCATTGGCATGTAAACAATCCATGGCTTTAGCAATATCAAGAGCAAAGTTCAACGCCAAGTGCAGGTCTAATTGATTTGGACGAATACTGCCTAAGTATTTCCGGAGTGACATCCCCGGTAACAACTCAGAGACAATCACCATTAAAGGATCTTTACAAGCTCCAATAAACTGCAAGAAAAAAGTAATGAACTTAAAATAATCAACTAAGACATCTATCAAGTTCAAATCTTGTAATAGGCAATCCACCTTCACTAAGTTGTCGTGTTTCACTCTCGACATCATATTAACTTCCCGTGCAAAACGACCTTCAAGTGCAACTCGTTCTTCTGCATCTCTACCACGGTTGAGAACCTTTATGGCGACAATCCGATCACCATACCTACAAAAACACATCATATATCTACGAATAAACAATAAATCTTATACAAGAAGTATGTTTTCAAGGATGCAGTAAACATAAATCTGCTACAAGAAGAAGCAATTCAACTTTGGAACCATCATACACGGCTTTCCATGGTAAGCAAACCATTACCCTTTTCAAGAATGAGCGATTTTGGACAAAAAGTGTTTTGAGTTCTTTCTTGCATCTATATTTCCACAATATTTTCAAAATTATATAAGAACCAAACCAAACATAGCGAACCCATTGTACCCACATGGAGGTGGGGTCAGGGGAGGGTAAGATGTACGCAGCTCTAATCTCTATCCAAAGAGCCCAACAAAATCATATATTGATGCAAATTATGATGTTCTTTTTGGCATTTTGCAAGAACTGTGGTTAGCTTGCAATAAAATGTCAAGTCAATGGTTCAAAAAGATCAATTAAAAAGTATATGTACATCCAAAGGAAGGAAAAGGACCCTTGTACATGTTGGCAAAATGACTTCAAAGCGTCGTGATACAAACAGGGCAAAAACATGCCAACTTAAACCAAGATTTCTTTCAAATGGCTAACAAAGTTAATCACTCCAAATTTAAATGCTTATAAAACATAAATGATCAATTGCAGGCTTTATAATCATAGGAACCATTGCTCACCTTCCTTCATAAACCTTCCCATGAGCCCCCTCTCCGATTTTTGCTCCAATAAATAACAGTTTTGGATCAACCAGCACCCTCTCATCGATCGTGCTGTCTGAATTCGAGATTGACCCATTTGAACAAGCTGATTTCGAGCAACCGGATCCCGATTTCGCTGTTCCAGATTTATTATTGCTATTGTTGCTATGATTATTACTATTACTATCAAATGCCCCTTCTTCTATTGCCCTGTTGATGTTGTTCTTCTCACTGTTACTCATACTGCAAATTCAGATTATCCCCTTGTTCCTCATCTTGACCCTCACAAACACCCTTCAAGAAATCCACATATGCATCCCACAAGATGATCAACCACCATGAGAAGATTAAAGAATTCTTTACAGTTTTTCAAAGAAACCCAATTTTGGGGACAATCATGTCCACCAAACTTATCATCTAAAACCCTAAACTAAGCTTTCCATCATCTAAAAAGGGATTAAAAGTTCCACAAACACCACACATACAAGCAATAAAACAGTGTGATGACTGAAAGATCGAAACTTTTTCCCCAAAATCAAAAGAAAATAATATAAATACCAACACCCAGATGGATTGATTGAAGAAAGATTCCAAATAGCAAACACCCAGATGGAAATTCAACTTTGAAACCTGAAAAATATATATATAAGATGGTTAGAAAGAAGGGAGACCATAAAAGGGAAAGCTTAGAGAAGCATCAAATAAGAGAATATGCGCATGTGTTTGTTTGTGTGTAGATTAAAGACTATATTCGTATAAAAAGGAAGACATACAAGCAACAACAACGAAGATGACGATGAAGCTGCATAAACCCTAAATATTTTTATTTGAAAAGAAGTCGTCTTGGCCGGTGCGTTTTGCTAAAAATTTCTTGTTTTCTTTCGTTTCTCTCTCTAGAAATTGAAAAAAAAGGGGTGTTTTTTTCTATCTCTGGAGATGGCGTCCCGGTGAAGATATTCTTGTTTCTCCGATGTCAGAGATAGAGAAAAAGGCAACGCATGTAATTGTGCACTACC